TCTAGGGCTCTTTGGCGAGCTTATGGCTAGGGCTGCTAGCAAGCTTTCCAATTGCTGGTGTTTAACAGCCATTTGATAGAACTTTGCCAAGCTCACATGGTCTTCACTTTGGAGCTCTTTCCACAGCTCCGTTTGTCGCTTGATGCCTGCAATTAGCAAAGTCCATATCGATTCTTCTAGTGTACCGCGACCTTTGCCTGCTCATTCTGGAACCTCGTTAGATACAAGGTTAGTGTTTCATCTCTCTCCTAACGAATATTGCTCAGGTAGCTGAGCGGCATTACGAGTTGTCTTCTTGCTTGGAATTGTTGTAGGTAGAGCGAGGAGAACTATTGCCAAGAGCTAATCGAGTTTGCCTTGAGCCTCTTGTACCACCTTTTGGCATCCCCTACCAAAGTGACCGCAAAGCAACAATATTTTGCCAAGTCACAGACCTGATGTAGCTCCATCAGGTCGTTGAAAGAATCCAAGTGGTCTCTAAGATCCCCTTTCCTATCGAACTTACTCTCTGGCGCCCTAAATCCTTGGGGAAGTGGGGCCTGACGAACTTCGTCTATAAATGGAGAGCTCACTATTTCTTTCCCTGCGTTATTCTAGCAGGATCTTAGATCGTTAAGCATTCTTTGCACCCGATCTAAGTCTTTGTCATGGGGATTGCCTTAGCTGGCTTTATTCAACCTTACCTCGAGTAGGTGATTTCGCAAATTTGTTGCTTGTGAGCCCCCTCCATTGTGCGCATTGATGACCGAGGTCGAGTCATGATGGCTGGGCTAGTAGGAGCTATCATACTCATCAATGCGTTGCTCGCGATGTTGGTTATAACCAAAACATCGGTCATTGCCAGATTAGCGTGCATGACTCATCTCGCGAGCTTGCGAGGTTTGAGCCTGCCTTGGCGTGGGTTAAACCGGCACACTGATGTTGGGGATATCGTTGAGTAGGTCGAGTATCCCTCTAGTGACCATTGCCTTTATCTTCCCTTGTGGGCTCTTTGCTTGGTCGTCTCTCGGGGTTAGTTTGTCCGCGGGATTCTAGTTCATGAGTAGAATATACCCAACGGTGCCGAGATTTTTGACCATTCTTTGATACTGATGAGCCAGATTGATCACTGGCTGAATTCTGACCTATTGGGGTAACATCGGTGAAGTGCATCCGATCCAGATCTAGGAGGGCCGACTGATAGTTTCTTAATTTAGCCACATTTTGTTACACCGTTTGTGCAACCATTGTTTTGATAATCTCCACCAGTTAACAATTTCCGAGATTCGACATTCTTGCCCCCTGTTGGTTCGCAGCCTGCTGCCCTAGCGACACTAGTGGTTGATGCTTGGTGACGTCTTGATGAACCTCCTAGTGGGTAGTTTCCACGTTGTCGTAGTTTTCGGTGGTTGTTTTCGATCTTGTACGAACAATTGTGGGCCTTGAGTGATTGGGTCACTGGGATTGTTTGCCGGAAATTCTAAGATTTTAGCAAAGGCCCTCATTTTAGCGCCAAAATGTTGATATAAGATTTGCACCAACTAGAGTGATTCGATTGACCTTGACGAAATTGGAGCTGATGTGTGCATGATTACGAGTAACCAGCAATGTAATGAATTGAAAATAGTAAAGTAAATGGCATAAAAGGATTTTTAAAGTGGTTTGGCGAGTTAAACTCTTGAGCCTACGTCCACTGTTTTTGTATTTGCTATGAGAGCTTACAATAATAATCCTATAACAATTTGCTAACCCCTTTCCCATCGTTGGAGGGGTTTATATACAGATTTCGTACAAAGGAAAGAGTGAAAATAAATGGATTACAATTAAGATTGAAATGCAACTCCGATATTCTCGCGATTGAGCACTGAGATTGCACCAAGATTGTTGTCGATCTGATCCTTTCCTAGATATCCAGGATCTAAAGTTATCTGTAAGTTGGTTGATCAACTATTTAGTCGAGCTACATCTCAACAAGCTTATGCTAGGTTGGACAATCGGTTGAGTTGAACTGATCCTGGATCGAGCTGTAACCTTGCAATTCTTTGAGCTTGATGAAAAAATCACACAGAACATTCATCATCAAGATATTATTGCAAATTCCATTAAATTGATAGCAAGCCCATGTTTGATAACCAATATCTCGTTTATAACTGTTATGCCTAAATAATATGATGATGTCATCTCCATCAATCAAGACTAGGGTTGTCAGTCGAGTCGAGTCGAGCCGAGCCGACTCGCGTCGTTAAATACTCGAACTCGGCTCGAATTCGACTCGAGTAAGTTACCAAGCCGAGTTTGAGTCTACCTTGACTCGGCTCGATTTGGCTCGCGAGCCAATAGTGGCTCGTTTAGGGTTTTTCTGTGCATAATACAAGTTTTTGGGTTTTCTTGTAATTTGACATGTAAAAGACTAAAAGGTTTAAAAAATCACAAATTAACCCTTAACCAAATAATCCCAATTAACCCAAAATCAAATTGCGTAAATTCATTCTCCCCCAAATCAAGAACCTTAAAACAAGAAACCCCAGAAACAATTTCCTGATTATCACACCAAGCCACCCACAAACACAGGAACCATTAGAGATTCAACTTCCAGAAGTTTGAGTTCTATGCTGTTTTAATGATAATTCTGATGTATTTTGATGGACATTTGTGGTTTTTTTTTTTTTTTTGTCTTGGATTGTATAATTTGTTGTGTAATACGTTGTTTATGTTGATTTGGATGTGATTTATATTGATTTAGATGCAAATTTATCAAAAATTGGATATGATTTGTGTAAAACAAAGATCTACATGTTATATTAAAAAAGGGCCAAACGAGCTGTAATCGAGCCAATTCAAGCTCGCGTTAAACGAGCCGAGTCATAAGCCGAATTTTTTCGACTCGGTTGACTTGTGACTTGACTCGGACTCTTCTAATGCTTAACCAAGCCAGGCTCGTTAAGGGTGATACTCGGCTCGACTCGGGTCGTTTACACCCTTAATCAAGACTAAGTAGACTTCTCCACCAATCATATTTTAGCATGCATCTTCACAAACTAGGATTCACCAAGCACTTGAAGACAAAACATAATAGCTGTTTGATCCTTAAACCGACTTAAAAGGATATTTTGTGCATACAACTACCGCAATTTCATTAAATTTAAGGATATGAATGAAAGCTCTCAACAAATCAAAATGAAGGAACCTTCACCAAATCAAGACAACTTGCAAAAACACTCATTACATTGAACTGAAAAGAGTATAAATAGGCAGCTCTACTCCTCAAAACGGGGATGATTTACACACTTATTTTACAAAAAAAATAGCAAAGACACACTACTAGAAAGAGATTGTCATGTCATTCTCTTAGAACACTTAAAATCTTATAACCTTGAGAGATTGCTATCTTTGTATTCTTCAGTAATGATCACAAAGGAAACCATAAATACAACCAAAGTGGACGGAGGACTTGCTCATAGTATCCGAACCACTCTAAAATTCTCTCGTCAACTTGTTATTTATGTATTAACAAACAAATATCAATACTACACCATAAATACTTTCATAATCATCTAACGTGCAACTTCATAGCAGTTTGTACGTGCATAGTCATTGGTGTCAAAATCACACATCAATAATGACTAACGACATAAATAGTCTCATATCTGCATTGTTTTAACAATTCATCAAAAACCCTTAGAAATTATTAAAAACCATATAGAATATTGAATGATGATAGAATTTAAATTTTTCTTAGATAATTTATAACCTCCAAAACAAAAAAAGAACTTTGTACTACACATCTTATAATGAATAAAACAAAGAAAATAAGTAATTTTTCTCCAAGCATGTAAAGTTTTAAAACATTTCAATTTTCTTTTTCCTAAATTGCTGTAAAATGATTTTAATATTTTTCAAAAAATATTTTGTAGAAAAAATGTTATCAAGAATTTTTTTTTTCATTTTTAAATTATAAAAAAAAAAAATGCTAGGTATAAAATGGCATCCAACCTTCTCTAACATATCCTTGAGCCAAATTCTTTCAACCTTTAAGGAGTTGGAAGTTGGCAATTAATGTTTAATTATGATCACTCAACAACTCATTAATAGGTTTTTTTCATATGATAATTAAACATTAATTCAATACTAAGCTTTTCAATCATTCCACTAATTTATTTTATAATGATCATTTTAAATTATTTTGGACATTATTTTATAACCTTTCCCTAAACAAATGATAATTAAAAATAAAGAAAGGTTATAGAAAGCAAAACTTGAATTTTAAATGAAATTTAAAAAATAAGTATTCATATTAATTTTTTGTTTATTTATTGAAGGTATATTATGTCTCCTTCGAGATGGATACCTAGATTGATTGTGACTAATCATATAAATAATGCCATCCAATTAATATTACTTGTTCTTTTAGAAGAGTGATCAAGAATCTTTTCTAGTTTGTTTTACATTTAATTAACAATGGCTTTTATATCATAAATACCAATAACTTTTTTCACCATAAAATCTTTTGTGCATATCGTATGTACGTAATTGGTAATCGGGGTGTTTGGTCTAATTTGGATACACCTCAACTAATCCTTAAAAGCCTTAAAGTTAACAACTAGATAAATCATCTAGTAGACACCCATATTAGCAATAAAGAGGAATTAAACTTATGACATCTTGAATAATAAACAAAAGAGTCTATGTAACCTCCAGCCACACAGAGGTGGTTAGATATAAATAATTAATAGTGTGACATACTTATTCTTTTATTAATTGGTTGTATAGTGACATGATGTATAAAAACATTTTCCTTTTTCCGGATAATTAATTTTTGTCTTAAATTTAGATCAATTATAAACTTTAGATCGTAAAATTCAACACTTAATTGTTGAAAATGTACTCATTCTTAATATCAGTAGTTTCTAGTAGAGTATACTAGAATTAAAGAAGGAAAAAAAAAAAAAGGAGATAAAAGAGATTGAATCAGAAATCAATTTTATTTATTATCGAAATTGTATTGATGTAAATGATATTCATCAATTTGTTTTACAAACTTGGGTTAATGCCATAATCATCTTCTCGTTATTGACCCCAGCATTGCACATGTTAGCCATTGCTCTTGCATACTTCTTTCCATAAGTTGATAAAGTTCCACAATGCTCCTCATAAAGTCCCACCTAATTAATAAAAACACACAAATTATATTTGAGTTCGACTAGTATTATACTGTATTATATATGTACGTGACAAGGAAGAGTGAACGTACGAGCATTTTTAAGCAATCCCAATCGTCGACAAGAGGTTGGCCAGCAGGTCGGACAAATTGCACCATATTAGGTCCATTTTTAAGGCCAAACAACATTGTTGTAATACGTTGAATATTGAGATCCTCTCGCTGCCTTTGAGAAATTTCCTCGTTTAGTTGCTTTTGAGCTTCGACCTTCTCTTTAGAGCCCTCAGGTGCCTTATTGAACTGCATAAATTAAGGATTAATAACCACTCTATAATTAGGTTGATTCACTAATTAATTTAATTAAAGCATAATTAATTAATTAACCTTGTGCAAAAGATAATAGAGATCAGCATCTCGTTGGTCAAGACCTTTGATTTTCGAAGGTAAAGGAGAAGAAGAAGAGGTTTGAGTAGTGAAAGTGAAGTTGTCATTAATTGGATTTGTTCCAATATAAGTTGAGACTGAATCTTTCTGAATCCCCTTAATATACCCATATCTCATTACATGAGAACTGAAGTCTAAATAATCAAATCCTGTTCTCCTTTTCACCTGTAATTATAAATAATTTTATAAATTCAATTTTAAAAAATGTTAATTAAAGTAGTTAATAGTTGAAGAAATTAAAATAGTAAACTTCAAGTCTATATATACCACTCGATATTGTTTCTCCAGGGTTTCCTTCTGCAAATCATGTTTGTCACTGCATGCAAATTAATGTAAAATTAATAACACTAAATAAAGGAACAAATTAGCGTCAACATTTCAATAAGTGGAAAATCGTAATTATTTATAATCCCCGTTTGATATAAAATTTAAATATAATTTTATTGTTTTTGAAAATAATTGATACAACAAATCTTATGAAAATGCATTTGGTGAAAATGAGTCAAAATGCTTTAGAAAACAATGCTCAAATACAATCTAAAATCTAGTGTAAAATAAATAAATAAATAAAACGTTTTTATAGTTTTCTATACTTTTTAATTTAAATATTGTTTTTGAATATTATATCAAACATATTTTCAAATAATCAAAATATTAAGATACAACTAAATATTTTGAATCTTATTTCAGTTTATAAAAATCTAAGATTCTTCGAATCGTACTAGAAACCCTTTAATTAGTTGGCTTTTCTTTTTCTTTTTTCTAATAAAGGGTTTTGAAAACCTGTTAAATTAAACGATCTTTTAGAAAGGTGAATGATAATAACCGATTTCAGAAAATATAATCGTAAAAAAATGAAGAAAATTAACCTGTCTTCCAACCAAGAAATACTGAACAAATCACCCAAACAAGTATCATATTCAGGAGGAGGGTAGGGATAATGTTCAGGACAATAAATAGCCCAGCTGCTCTCTGATGAATTTGCTGCTGTCATTGCATAAATATTCCAAGTTTTTGGAAGAAGTCCTTCGAACACAATCCCAGATTCACATGCTTCAACGTAAATTACCTATTAAATTTTATCAAAATTAAAAACACAAATTAAACTCTTAATTATCAGGTAATTACTTACTTAATGACCAAATTAATTAATTGCATTACCATTTTTTTATATGCTTTAGCCTCGTGTTTCTTCTGCAATACATCGATCAAGTCTTTTGCGTAAAGATAACCAGAAGGCATTCCTATAACATATGCAGACGTTAAAAATATAGACATTCTCCGATGTGGACGTTCGCATTGTTTTAAAATATAGACGTTTAAGTTTAATTGGAAACTTACCAATAATGCCAGGGGAACCATGGTCAGTGTAATATATAAAAATATGGTCATTTGGGCCACTATTTACAACTTTGCCACTTCCCCCAGTGAGAGCAGTTTTGTTGCCAAGAATAACAGCCAGAAAATTGTTGGCAGTAACATTTTCACCAGTGTAATCCTGTACATATATGATAATTAATTAATTAAAACAGAATTAAGAAAATTAATTAATTAATTAAACAAACCTTTGGGACTCCATAGTAAACATCAGTGCCATATGGTTTATTAATGATAATTCCAGGCCTTGGATTCTCATTAGCAAAAGCAATATCATCATACATAAAAACTATTATATTTTCTTCCTTTAATCCTCCACTCTTCAGAATTTGATATGCGTGACACACATCAGCCTGCAAAATTAAATTTAGGTTAATCAGATGAATTATTTTTAGTTATTCTAATTTATATGATTATTAGAAAAAAAAAAATATTAACCTGATGCCTATAGTTTCCATAACCACTCGAACCGGCAATTAGAACCGCCCATCGGGTGCCATTGATGCTGGATTTATCATCTTCGTGGTCGAGTTTTCGACTTTCGACGGCAAAACTTAATAAAGAAAGGAGAAGAATTCCAGCAAGAATAGAAGAATTCATTGTGATAGCTTTAAGTAAACCTGCAAGTGAAGTACCAAGTAATGACATATATATATATATATATATATAGAACTTTGCTCATAAGCACAAACTAAGCAGTTTAAATCAAACTGGGAGAAAATATGAGAGAGACTTCATCTACCTTGAAGTTTTGGTCAATCACATTTAGGTCCTATATTTTAAAATAATAAATTTAACCTCATAAATTTAACAAACGTCGCATAATTGGTTAATTGGAGGATTTTTATTGTTTATAAACCAGAATACTCTTATTTTGATATTGTCTCAATTTTAAAAGTCCAGATTCTGCCATTTGACTGTCTATTCCTTCTTGACCGTTATTAAAATCAGGGGGTTAAATCCTAGTACTTTTGACTGCCAACCTTGGACTAGACTTAAATCCGAGGGGGATAAATGCAATTAACTCGAGAAAATTATGATACATAGTTTATTAATTGAGATTATTTCTATTAATTATGTACTAAACCATAATTAGAACGATGGATACGTTAAACCATGTTTAGATTGATTGTTTCGAGTCTTTTTTTTTTCGTTTTGTTTTGTCTTGTAGCCATGCATGGCCATTTGCCAAACTAATGAGACAGAATAGAAAGGCTCTAAAGCCGTTTTTTGAGGAAATGTAGCTTTGATTTTTGTGAGAATTTGGATTAATGTGTCATTAATTCATCAAATTAAAAAATGGACTATAGGATCAAGATATGAAATCAAGAAAATGATCTGTCATTACTATTCTTTGAAAGTTTCATTTTTCTTAATCAAATATTTGATTAATTAAGTACACACAAACCCTATTGATTTTGAAATTTGATACAAATATTCCATACTATGAAAGACTTCTCTTGAAAATTATTTTAAATTCATTGAAAGGGACACAAGTTTAATAATAATCTGAAAATTAATTAATACTTTATTAGGGGTAATACTATAATGTTTAATACTCATGCTACTTTGTGGTATTGCACTTAAACCCTAGGTCTCATAATAAATCGTAACTTAAAAAAGATATTCAAAATATGTTATATATATATAAGAGAAATTCTTAATCTCTACAAAACTCACTCAGACTCAATATATCCTTTTTTTTTTTTCTTTTTTTTTTTAGCTTACGTGCATTTTAATTAATTCTCTATAACTTTGAAGCTAATGATCGGATAAAACTCCAGTGACCACCTCTATTTGGGGTCAAAGTGAATCGAACTTAAGACCTCTTGAATAATATACCTAAGAGTCTTAATTAACCACTCGATTACTCATTGATGATTCTACTAGTATATCAAGATAGGGTAAATCCTTAACTTAATTAAGAAAGCCTATTGCTAACAGTAAATAAACTCTCTGACAAAAGTGATCGATTAAAAAAAAAAATACTTAACAATTTAATTATATAATGGTGGAGGTTAAACAAACTTCTAAATTTGTTAGAATGAAAAATAGTTGGTATATTCTCAAAAAAAGAAAAATTATATTGGTCAGTGACTCATGATAAAGTCACACATATATAACCCTAAATTAACCCCAAAAACAAACCTACAGAATCACGAAAATACCAAATATAAGGATAAAATAAGCAAGTAAAAGATTTTACCTCTCTATCTTCACTTCACTTGCTCAAATTTTTGATAAAAAGCTTCTTGGACTTGAAGACATCAATGGCTTAAAATAGGATCTCTTTTACTTGTAAATCTTAACTACTTCTCTTGTGGGTAGAAGATTATTATAAATGGAAGCGAATGAATGGATTCTCAGTTGAGAAAATTGAAAATGAATCAATTATTTAAAGAAGGTGGGTTTTGCTTGTTGTTTTAAGGCATGCAAATGGTTATGGTTTTGACAGTGAGCAGAGAAAGAGTTTGAGGCGTTACATAAAAAAAAACCATAGGCCGAGATAGCCTAAATTAACGCATATTCTGACAAATGCCTTCAATTTGATGCCTTCAACAATATACATTCTAACACTTGGCTTTCAGATGCACTTATCAAATAAATGCCTTCAAAAAGTTATTTAGTTTCTAGGTGTATATATGTAATGAATAAATAAGTTGGTATGATAGATAATAATGAAAATTTTCAGATTTTTTTTTTCTTAAAATGCAAACCATAATTTTTTTTTTTGAGACATCCCTTTTTTACGGTCAAAATATATTAAAAGACAAAATTTCAGTCCATTGCCTCACATTACAAATATAATTTTTTTTTTTAATTGCCTCTGGGTGGCCGAATGGTTTGATGAGGACTTTTAGGTGTTTTACCTAAAAGATCATGAATTCGAGTTCCTTCTCGATTGCTAATAGAGATAGTCACTTGAGCTCTTATCCGGCTGATAATTATAGGGTCTCGAGGAATTAGTTGAAGCATGTATGAGCGGGCTCGAGCACCCATGGTCATAAGAAAAAAATATAAAACTTTTTATTTTTTTATTTTTTACTCATACCTTCAGGTATGAAAATTCGAGTTTTCAAAGATTGGACTTCCACATTACAAATAACATAATAAATATTATTTTTTTTTAAAGAAAAATGAGAAATACTTATATTGGAGATTAAACTAAGCTTATCGTAATCTCCAATAACTTGAGCAAAAGTAGAAAGTTTAATTGATGAGTGCTACATGTTAAACTAGAATTTGTTCTTTTCTTTATGCTTTGGTCGAAAAGATAAAAAAGGCCCAAGAAATGAATTAAAAAAAAGTAGTAACACAACTATATAAATATGATTAAGTGGAACTTAGCGAAATGAGCTTATATTAAATTATTTATATAAGTTTGCTAAGTGCCAATTAAAATTATATTTACATTGCAATGTCACAATTATTTTTTTCAATTTTTCACTTGCCCATTGCCTTTAAAACGTCTAAGGTTTGTCATATTATTCATTTTAATGTGCTTATAATTTATTTTAATTTTAAATCACCCATTCATATTATAATAGATTTTGTATGCGTTGGTTTGTACCAGAAGTTTGTACAACTTGAATTTTAAGGCAAAAATTTCAATAGTTACCATATTCTAATAATATACATTAAGTACAAACATATTCAAGAAATTCAATTTACATGGTCTTGATCATCTATGTCGTCGCCTTTTGGAAATTTTTCGAGGATTTCTGACTTTAAAAATTTGAGACTGCCTTGAATTTCTTAGTCTTCTTGACCCCCTCTTTACATGAACCGACACTTCTCTTGTTTTCAGCTTCACATGATGGTGGTGACGAAGACTACCATTTCCGTACCATTGTTTTCTTTCTCTGTAACATTTTCTACTCGAACTAAAATGATGACACTCGCTTGAAAAATCACTTTCATCACTTTCACTATAACCTAATTCAACATCTCTAATATGCCGGCGCCTGTTTCTTCGCTTGGTGTTCATCAACTTCTGCCACAAGAAACATGTTATATCTTCCAAAGCATACCAATATGTCTCACATGCAGCACAACACATCTTGCAAAGGCTTCTTATTATGCATTGGCAAATCCCCAGATTGAACAATAGGTAGCAGAACCACAAAACTGAAAGATGAAAACAATATAATAGTTATCAGTCATTACCTTATATTCACCAGAAACAAATCTTATTCCTCTGGCCCTAATACAACAGCTAACCACTTTTCAGCATAACTATCAAAAATTGTGACAAGAAAAGGGCTGCCTAGCTCATACTTTATCCGGAATTCATAACTCAACATAATATAAGAAAGAAGATTGTCTTGCCGTTACTAAAACGCGCTAATGTTCTCACAATTACTAGCACACATCATTGCTAATTTCTGCAAGACGAAATGACAAAGAGCAATGTAAATATACATGTGCATATAAATAAGTTGCTATGTTACTTTTGATATTAAAAAAATGGGACTGAAACAGCAACATTATACAAACAGAATGGAAGAATTTAAGTTGAGATCACATATATGTATTTATAATTGAATTAATCAAAGCAAGAAGTGTGGCCAGTTTATCGAACTCAAGGGTGAAAAAAATCACAGTTTAGACAGCAATCAAGTTAACAGAATGAGAAAAAAGGGAAAAAGAAAAACACAGAAAGTTGTAGAACAGGAAGCCATCTCATATTACATAAGTACCTCTAATGCTAATTACATGTAAAGCTAATGGAAAAGAGAAAAAATAAATGAAAATATGAGCAAGAAAGAAGAAATTACTTATGTAGCAAAGGCCAAAAATCATCAGCAGTTTGATCAGATTTGCAACGCAGAAATGCTCGATGAAACATACTATGTCCCATGGTCCTGAACAAACACCCCTGCAGAGTCAAGCAAATCAAATGAAACTGAAATTGAAACTGCAAAGATTTGTGGGCATGGGTAGTATATACATATAAAGAGATTACTAATATTATTCGTTTAGAATGAACACAGATGACAGAACAAGTAAAACCCAAAATGCTCATAGCAGTTAACTGGTTGCTGAAAAGTTATATTCCCAATAACCAAATAGAGTTAAGCTTACAATTGATCTTGTTTATCATAAGTGTATGATGAAGTAAATAAATGACATGTGCATGTATGTCCGCCCAATTACTTGATGCATGTAGGCGATGTGTACAAATGTGACGTTTGAAACATTGGACATACGCACATGTGTCCATTGCGCCAAAGATTTTTCTATGGTACATGATATATACCAATACAATTGAGGATAATTTTATGCATAAAAGCAGGTACAGATAACTGATAAACATTTTTTTTCTTTAATCACAATTTTAGAATCAAGAACTGATAAATTCTTCAATTCTTTGCATCATTATATCAAATGCTTTTGACATAAATGTCAAACGAAATACATATATAAGATGACCAATTCACATATAATTCACTCTTAAAAACCAGAATTGTATGGGGAGGGTGCCCATGTGGTTTTTAACCCACATGCCTAATTAGGATCGTTACAAATAGATGGAACAAAAATTATTTAAAAATGAAGCATTACAAGAGAAGAATTACTACTTACTCACAAGATCGACC